ATTAAACATTCATCATTAATAAGAACAATCAAATCAAACATTCCTAAGGAAAATAGCATGATGGAATCAATAAAAATAAATAAATAAAGGCAGAAAATGACCTAACTAGGCAAGCGAAAACTTCTATTTTAGTACAACATAGCAAACTAACAAGAACTATTTCTTGTCTATATTTAATTCCGTTTTAGAGATGCCAAAAGGGAAAAAAAGGTACACTTATGCGCTTCAGGGTTTTGGGTTTTGTTCATCAATTAACAAAAAGCCTGTGAGAAATTCTTAGAGACACAATATAGTTGTTTTCCGATGTGTTTGAAAAATGGGATCTGAAAGAGAAGAATGTCAACACCCCGGAATGGCAATCTAACTAATCTTCAATCTTCCCTGTGTACCTTGGGTAAGCCTCCATCAGAGTATAAATCAGGGCCAGCCTATTCCATGACCCTGAAGCTCAGACCTCCAGGTCCCTAACCTAACATTTGTGGCCACGCAGGAGGAACATTTGGTGTCATGTGGTAGGAAAGCAGTTGCACCAGTCACTGCGAATTTATATCAGGGCAGCACTGGAATCCCATCAGAGTTGGAAAGAAGTAGATGTGAGCTAGAACAAATAATTTGGTTAAATGTATACCTCTACACAGCACATAACAACAACAACAACATACAGCTTTAATTAAAGCTTGTGAAATATATATTAAAAAAAAGGGTGGTGGGAGAATAGATAAGAGTATTCTATGGTTATTTTGTTAAATGGTATAGACAGTTATTGACCTGCTTTGCATATTGCTAGGAAAAAAAAAAAACTAAAATTGAGAAAAAGTAATTCAAGGGTAATATCCAGAATAATAGGAGCTCTGGTAGTGTAGTGCCTAAGGCACTTGACTGCTAACCAGAAGACTGGCGGTTCAAACCCACCAGTCACTCCTCGGAAGGAAGATGGGGCAATCTACTTCCGTAGTGATACTGCCTCGGAAACCCAAGGAGGGGTCGCTATGAGTCGGGTCCCACTCGACGGCCCATAAGAATGACGACAACATCCAGAATAATGGAAATAAAATATATAACATTTAAGCAGCAGATGAATATTTAACATGTCTAATGGAAATCAGGGGGAGCCCTGGTGGCATAGTGCCTAAGGCATCTGAGTGCTAACCAGAAGGCTGGTGATTCAAACCCACCAGTTACTCCTTAGAAGGGAGGTTGGGCAATCTACTTCTGTAGTGATACTGCCTCAGAAACCCACAGAGGGGTCACTATGAGTCAGATCCGACTCCACTGCAGTGTGTTGCATTGTGTTAATGGAAACTAGGAAAAAGATAAAGTTTAAAAAGAAAATAAGGAAGAAGAAAGCATAAAGAATATAAAAAATGAAACAAGGTGGCAGATGTAAGTTCTCATATTAAATTGATTAAAGGAAGTAAATGGGTTAAAGTCACCAATTAACTGACAAACATTTTTGGATTTGTAAGAAAGATTCAGGAATAAACTGACTAAATATTAAAGTAAATATTAAATAAAATACTAAATATTAAAGTAAAACTGTCCAGTAAATTTAGCTATAAAAGAGGTCTCAAAAATTCTAAACAGTAGCTATCATATGCAATATGTTTTTTGACTAGAATGCAATAGAGTAAGTCAATAAAAAATAAACAAAACACTTCCAAATGTTTGCAAAGTAAAAAAATATACTACTAAATAATTCTTGTATTAAAGAGCAAATCATAAAAGAAATTACATCTAAATGACAATGACACATGTCAAAAAGTATGACAAATAGCTAAAGCAATATTAGAAAAAAGATTATAGCTCTAAATATACTTATTGGAATGTGAGAAATAAATGTTCTAAGCCCAACTGATTAATACCAAAAAACAAACAAGAAAAACAGAAAAATAAAGATATTTGTAGAAAATAATGTTATTTTGAATTGAAAAATATACAAGAATCTGAAAGCTAATATGACAGAAATTCTAGAAAAAACAGGTAAGAAAAAAGAGAAAATATCCAAATAAACAAGGAAAAGAATATAAAAAGATAACTAATTATATAAAGGATTACTCCAAAAGTAATAAAACATGTGCTAATAAAATTGAAAACCTAGATGAAATATATGAATTTTTGGAGAAATGCAAAATACCTAAAATTGGCCCATGAAGAAATTGAAAACTTGAATAGAGTAACAGCCATTATCCACTGTAAAAGGTTAAAATTTCACTGCACAAAGTCACCAGGCTAGATAGTTTCACAGCAGAGTAAAAATATAAACTTTGAGGGAACAGAGAATTTCTATCTTATACAAGTCATTAGAGCTCTACACAAATAATTTCTGAAAGTTGAAAAGTAGAGAAAACTTCCTAACTTATACTGAAGCTAAGACAAACTATGTAGCAGCTTTTGATTAATCCATTCTAGTCAGATAACACTTACCTAACTAATCGAGGGTATTATAAAATTTTAGAGAGGGCCAAAAGTAAGACTTGAATGGAATATACACATTCCATGTTAGTTGTTGTTATGTGCCGTCGAGTCAGACCCGACTCATAGTGACCCCTCCTTGGGTTTCTGAGGCAGTATCATTACAGAAATAGATTGCCCCATCTTCCTTCTGAGGAGTGGCTGGTGGGTTTGAACCGCCAGCCTTCTGGTTAGCAGTTAAGTGCCTTAGCCACTATGCTACCAGAGGGATTAAAGAGACGATGTGATTAAAATGTCAGTTCTCTAAAAGTTAATTTAGTAGTTTAATGTAAATACAATCAAAATTACAAAGAAAAATTTTCAAGGGATAATAAAGTGATTCAAAAATTCCTTAAAAGATAAGCTACACAGTAAAGGAATTTACAAAGAGAGGAGTTGGGTGGATCTGATTTATTTTACCAATGTTATTATATGTTTTAACAGTATGCACCCAAGAAAATGGAAAGATAAAATACAATATGCAGGCCAAAAGCAGCCCACAGAATAATTGCACAAATTCTGTAGCTAATAATGCTGCCTCTTCCAATCAGTGCTTATCAACTACTTGGAAACAATTAAATTAAGTATTTGTGTTTTAAGAAGCCCTGGCAGCACAGTGGTTAAAGCGTTCAGGTGGTAACCAAAAAAAAGGTTGGCAGTTTGAACCCATGATGGAAAGATGTAGCAGTCTGCTTCTGTAAAGATTTACAGTCTGGGAAACCTTTGACTTGGAATCAACTTGAAGGCAGTGGGCTTGGTTTGGTTTGATTTGTGTTTCATTGTACCAACTGCAGTACATGTTTGATACCAGTCATTTAACCACTAAGTATATGCCCACAACTGTGCAAGAACTAAGGATATAACAGTGAGTCAAAATAGAGGAGCTTAGAGTCTAGTAGGAAGATACATCATGGGTAGCACTGATTGAGGTAATGTTTGGCTAATGTGCTTTGGCCAAATAGTACAACAAATACTTTTGCTCAAAATAACAGCAACATGGAAGAGCTGTATCATATGCTTTTGCAAACTACCTCAATCACACAGCTTCCAATATTTGTCAAAGCTGAATTGAGAGTAACAACATTCAAGGAAGATTTCTTAAAGAACAAGCAGTCAATCTACTCTTTAGATAATCTACATTCCTGGGCCAACTCAGAGCCACAGAGAAATAGGGACCTAGAATCCACCTTGCTTCTTTACTTAGTCACCTTCTGCAGAAGAAGGTTGCTTTTTCTGACTTGCTCTTTAGTTTGATGCTATCTGGTAATCTAAAACGCCTTTATAATCCTAAAACAGGTATTGTTACTCCTTGTTGTTGTTGTTGTTGTTATGTGCCGTCGAGTCGGCCCCGACTCATAGCGACCCCTCCTTGGGTTTCCGAGGCAGTATCACTACGGAAGTAGGATTGCCCAACCTTCCTTACTGTAGGGGAATTCTGAGTTTTGTGATCATTATGTAATACTACATTCTATGACCTATTTATGATGTATCAAAATTTGAAATTATAAATGTAAGAAAATTAGAAATTATAAATCTGATTTTCAAACCAGTTTTGCAAGTGTTGGAGAATTTTTTTCCCCTCCCAAATGATGAAGTCCCTAACAAGCTTGAAACCACAGAGCGGGGGTACACTTTAGGGTAATTTAGGGGAAGTTGTAAATAATGACATATTTGTCTTCAACAACAGAGAATATTTCTCAATACAATGAAAAATAAGCTGCCCGGGGACATGTTCATCACTGTTTCTGTTTCACATGTTGCGGTTCTGAATAGCTAATTTGGAACAAGTGTTGATGTGGTTAGCTGTCCTTATCGGCCCCTCAGACTTAAAGACTGCATCAACCAGGCTCCCTTGCCTGGGTTTGTCCAAAAGGAGGCATCAATAGAAGGAGAGAAGATTCAGGTATATATTACTTTGCCTCCAGGATGTAGTTATTCGCAATGGTTGCATTCTCATAAAACTGCAGATGTTGGAATAAAAAGGTACTATCTTTCCCTCTCTGCCCATTAAGGTAAAGGATGGTAACAGTTTCCTGCTATTGGCAGCACCTGTGCTCCTCACTGTCCCTGGTTAGTTACAAGGCCATTCATTAAATCCTCTTCAACTAAACCCTTTAGGTATGCCACCTGATTCCCACTGGGATTCTGTGTTTTTAAGGAAAATATTTTTAAAATAGCTTTTTTAGAAAAATTACTGCTTTACAGGAAAGTTTATCACCAGATCCCAAAACTTCTGTAAAGCTGATTACCTGGACTTACATGAAAAGTGCATACTTAAGCTGTACATTGTAATTACAGTCTAGACAAGTTGTAAACTGCCACTGTGATAATTAATTGGCATTTAAATTAAAGATTGAAGAATGACTTCTACTTAAATTTTACCTGAAGTTCAATGAGATTCAAGGCAATGCAGAATTTTTTTTTTTTTTTTTTTAAAAAAAACACCTTTCTTTTGGAAATGGACTATTCTTCCTGCATTATTCAAACAAAAACATATACTTCATAAAGTAGACATATATAAAGAAATACTTTGCAGATCAACAACTTACCTCTTTGAATTTGTGACTGAGCTTGCTTGTGTCCAGATCTGATGGAGAAAACATGTCCTCATTCTCAGGCAGCTCAAAGACTTCAATGGCCATGTCACCACCAGGAAGGACAGGCCCTACTTCATCCTCCTCTTCATCAGTAGCATATTCCCCAGTCTGAAAGGAAGAGGATTTTAGAATTCCAACTGTGCTCACCCCAAGTGAAGATGGGTTATTTGAAAGTATTTTATAAAAGATGAATAAGAGATGTCACTAAATGGTGAAAGAATAAATAGGTTTTTAAGTTAATCATGCTTCATGCAGCTGATATTACAAACAAATGTTAGTACAACGATCCCAAGTGGCAAGTCTGCTCCATACCTAAGTGCATTGCTCAAAACATTAATAGTAGTAGTAGCATCTTTACCATAGCAACAAGAGGTTTTTTTTTTTTTTTTTTCTGATTTGATGGTTTTACCAAATAAAATCATATTGTTTACAGAGATGAGTAATTACTTTAAATTTCCACCTGCTGTGTGAATAAGCCACCCAATACTGGAAGCAGGGAAGAAGAGATCCAAGATTCAGAGTTGGAAATGGCCGTAAACCTTAAAAATCTTTAGTCAATTAATTCTTCTAAGCTTTACAGAGTCCAATCAACGCTGTTTTGTTTGCTTTTTAACTTTTATGATGGTTATATAGTGATTTAAGGGATAAACTGGAGGTTTATACTGGAAGCCCACAGATGTGTATTATTGTGCTTGCATAGTATTTTCATAAATCTGAGTATTTTTGCCAAAGTTTAAAAAAGTGATATTTCACTTAAGATTCTAGATTTCCAGCTTCTCTTGAGCAACCAAGATCAGGAAATATAGGCACAGTACTACATGGTAACAACTGGCCAGAGTTAGTAGTGGTTGTCCCTTTCAGATAGGTCATGCATTTGTCCCCTAACTCAGTATTGTTCAATATGGTTAGTTTCCTTTCTTCATGGATCCCTGTAGGTATCTGAGTTCATGATCTCTGGAACAAATGTTTTCCCTCAACACTAACTTCCTTAACATTAGTAGAAAGTAGCTCTCCTTCTTGCAGCATCAAGATTATGAGACTACAATTCAAAATAACTGATTTAAATCTATGTATCACACTCAATTTAAAGATAAAATCATTGATTCATTGCATTGAAAAGACAAAGTTCATTAAATTTCAGGTAGTACTATAGGAATTCATATTGCCTTTAGAAAAACTTTTATAATGATCTATGAAAAAAACTTCTTAAATTTTTATTAAACAGGCTTAGCATCTGATTGCTGTTTTTTATTTCTGGTTCTGCAAAAGCTGAAATCCTACTTCTTTCTTACTATGTTTATAAAGGAAATCTCTTTCCAGTTTCATATAAGGCATTTCTTTCACATATATTCACATAAAGAAAATCTGCTCATTGTTCTCAGTTAATAATTCCTAATGCCTTAATGACAACTATTATATTTCAATTTAAACTTTTCTTTCTTGAGAGAAATCATTTTAGTTCCTCCTAAGTCTCTTTCTCTGTAACTGTCTTTCCAATTGTCCTCTGATTTCTCTCAAAGTTCTCCACATTCCTCTTAAGTTGTGGAACCCCAAAGACAACACTATTTCTAGGGAGGAATCAGAGGGCCATGGGCCACAATAGACAAACTCCCTTAGCATCCTTCCCACTCCACTTTCCCGCAGACACTGTTATTGTGAAGCCCTTGACCTTGGTGGCCATCTATGAAAAAGAGTAAACTCAGGATACTTCATCAACAGCAGTGCTTTGCCAAACTGGTTACATGTTAGAATTTTTGTTTTTTCAAATAAAATCAGAAATGTTTTGATTGAAATGGAAAGAGGTCATATGATTTCTCAGCATCTGGGACTCTTTAGAACCCAGTCTGAAAATGTCTAAACTAAAACTACCATTATAAGTGTCTTTGGAACTGGTAGTGGAAGGTAAATGAAGAGTGAGGAATGGTTGGCTCCAGACAGCTTGTTTGTTGGTGCAGTGACAGCCTATAAAGGATTTAAATTCCAGAATTAATGCACGTTTTAATGGTATTATATAAATTAGTTAAATATACTATATATAACTAATATATGTGTGAGTATGCATGTGTGTATTATGTGTGTATATATACATATGTGTGAATATATACACATATGTATGAATATCCAATAGGTACTTCATAAATTTCAGTGATGTTAATTAATAGGAATGTGGAAAGGCTAGTAAATGAACAATCTTAAGATGCCTTGCTGAGAGCTGTGATGTTGTTGTTGTTGTTGTTGTTGTTGTTAGGTACCATCGAGTTGTCTCTGACTCATAGCAACCCTATGCACAGCAGAATGAAACACCTCCTGGTCCTGAGCCAACTCTGTGACTCTTGCTACACTTGAGCCCATCGCCACCGCCACCATGTCAATCTACCTCATTAAGGGCCTACCCTCTTTCATTGACCCTCCACCTTACTAAGCATGACATCCTTCATTGATTCATCCTGTGATCTAGAGGTACAAAACCATGTGTCTATTTTTAACCTGGTAATTACAACTAGCAGCAAAGCCACACCTTCATTATGAAGGCTTTAAGCAGCTTTAGAGATTCATTTCTACATCATCAATTGGATCAATTTCATAAGTGACTCAGTAAAATCATTAGCTAAATTTAAAGTGTGACTAAGACATGACAATTTGGCATGTTTTAAACATAAGGGTTGAAATGAACAATTTGATTTGCCTTGGCCAGCTTGAAAATAGGTATTTGTTCACTACATATGAGGGAATTATTAAGTTCTTAGGATGAAACCTGACATGTAACAGGAGCTCAAAAAACATTTTTTTTTTTTTAAATTGTGATTTGGGTGCAAATTTACAGAGCAAATTAACTTTCCATACAGCAGTTCACAAACACTTGTCTCATGACATTGATCATTTACCACAATGCAACAGCTTGCCTCTCCCTCCCTCCCAATAGTTGCCTCTTCCCTGTGTCTATCCCTCCGCGTACCCCTGCCCCCTAGCTGACTCCCTGTGCATAAACAGCCCTTCTTTGTCCCATGATTGTTCTCTCCAAGGAGTGTATCTACCTCAGGTAAACGTTCAACTCATATGCCTGTCTTTTGTTTGCCTGGAAGCCACGGGTGTGGGTTCAATTCCAGACCTGAAGGGCAGCTAGGGGCCATAGTCTCAGTGGTTCCACCAGGCTCTATCAGACAAGCAAACCTGGTTCCCACCCTTTTTTTATTCTCCAAATGATTTTGAGTTTTGTTCCACATTGTTGTCCCTCTTTATCCAGGACCTCCTACATAGATCCCCCTCCAAATTGTTGACAATGGTAGCCGGGCACCATCTAGTTCTTCTGGTCGCATAGTTGTATAGGCTGCAGATTGCATGGTGTACTAGTTGATAGGACTAATTCTTTCCCAGAAATTTTGGTTTCCTTCATTCTTCTTTGCTCTGGATGAGGAGAGAGCCATCATTGCATCTAGAGGGCTGCTTGCTAGCTTTTAAGATCCCAGTCATTATTCGCCAAAGTAGGAGATGGAACAATATTTTCTGTAGTATGTTATGCCAATTAAGTATGATGTTCCCAGTGACTATGATCCCGAGCCCACATGTTCAAATACATGGTCCCTTTTGGTAGCTGGCTGTGACCAAGAAATGATGACAACCTTGTCCCTTGTCAGCTCTACTATACACCTGGGAATTCAGATGATACAAATAAACTTATAGGACCACTGTCTGCCAACCCTATACATAGTCTTGGGTACACTCCCTGCTTCATAATAGTTCAGCCTGTCCACCAATCTATCCACCTGTATACCCATGTTTGCTTTCACTGACAATCCAGTTCTGAATGTGCAAAAGGGTTCATCTTTGTTGTCTGTACCTCCCATGTACCTCTCTATGTCTTTCTCTTCTTCAATACCATCATGTTGGTCACTCACATTTGGTACACTGCCCTTCTCTTCATCCAAATCAATACTTATCTCTACCTATCTAACAGTGTTCCCTCCCCTCCTCTCCTAGCCCTGGTAACCAGCAAAGAAAATTTCCTTCCATAGATAAACCTTTCCTTGACTTTTGCAGTAACGGACTAATACAATATTTGTCCTTTTGTGATTGACTTATTTCACTCAGCATAATGTCCTCCAAGTTCATCCACGTTATGCGGTGTTTTGCAGATTCT